CGATTAGCCATCTCCTCGTAATCGAATATTCTGAAGAATCCAAAAAATCCGAAGAGTCACTTGTAGCTGGAAGATCAGTAGTAATCGCTTACTAAGAATTGTTCTATTCAAAGGTCATCGCGAATGAGTAATGGTGTGAATTGGGTCAAAGTGTGGATTTGATCTCAAGTTGGAATGAGAGCCTTCACCAAGACACCGAAAACCAAATAAAAGGACACAAACACTTAAGACTAAAAAGTAAAAACTAACAAAAAGTAAATAAAGGTTAACCAAAGAAAAATCCCTGGTGAGACGGCACCAAAATTTTGATGCGTGCTAATTTAGCACCCTAATAACCTCATTTAAGATCTATGACAATGTCGCGTAGTAGTATAGAGCAAGTAAGGGTTAACTAACTAATTACTTACTAAATAGGCGGTTTTGATGATTAATGTAAAAAACTAAAAACAAATTAAATTGAAGTTGAAAAATATGAGATAAATTGGATTGAAGGATCATTCATCGCTACTAACATGAATTGTAGATCAATGAAACACTTCCTAACTCCTACCCTCTGACTATATTAGCTCAGAAGATATCACAAGCTCGATAATCGATCTCGCTTTGCTATATTGTTGGAATTAACAAGCTCTTAACCCAATTTCCTATCAATTAAACAACCTAGATAAGCTCTTTAGATTTAATCAATAGAATCATTAAATAAAAAGAAACATACTGATCAAGGCTAAACTCATAAGCTCAGTTTAGTTATCTTGAGTGTTTATTCCCATTGCATGCAAGCAAGCAACTTACTACTAGTTATTTAGATTAGTAAATCGATTACGTGCCAGACACATCCAATTTTGTTACCTGTCATGTGTCTAGAACAACCACTATCAAAGTATCATTGATCATTTTGAAAAACAGGTAAAGAAGTATGAGCAACAAGACAAATAACATTAGACTCGGTTTTTGAACTTTTTTTGAATTAAATACATCCTTTGAATGAGCTGGAAAATAGGATATCATACTGTGTTTTTCAAGGCATTTTTCAGATAAAAATTGAACTTTAAACATTTAGGTCTGGTGTGACCTTTCCTATCATAGAAAAGAAAAACTGGAACAAATTTCTTTACCTTTACAGCTTGTTTCCCAACAAGAACAACAGGTTTTGTGGCTTTGACAAATGTGTGCAAATCAGACCTGGATGTGATAGCACCTGGAGTGAATCTCAAATCAGTTTTATCTCCAAATAGTTTTCCTTAACTAAGCACTTCATCCAGGTTGCTTATACCTACATTAAACTTCTCAACAGTAGTCTTAGCCTCAAATAGTTCTTTCAATGTTTGGTCCAATAACAAATCTTTGTTAGTCACTTTAGAAGTCATGGACAAAAGTTTAGTAGAAATGATTTTCTTTTCTTTCAACAGATTTGAGTTTTCACATTCAAGATACAACATTTTCTCAATAGATTTCAACCATTGATCATGCATTTTATCATAAGCCATTTGTTGCTCAGCATACACATCACTAGAATCATCAAATGACACACTCACATTATCTTCCCGATTTATTGTAAAAGCAAGAAAATTTCCGTTTTCAACATATTCATCTTCCTCACTCTCATTTTCTTCCTCATCAGTCTCACTAAAGGTAGCAGCCATCACTTTCCCTTTTTTCTTTAGAGTGTTAGCACATTCAGCTTAGATGTGCCCATATCCTTCACACTCAAAACACGTAGTGCCTTTACTTTTCTTCTCGTTATCTTTTGAATTTTTTTTTAATGAAAACACTAGGAAAATACTTATCAAAACTGTTTTTCACAATGGGTTGTTTTCCTTTCCTATTAGCATTTGACTTTTTCATGTTATTCCTAAAAAAATTTGCATAACTTTTAGTGAGCAAGGCAACTTCTTCATTCAAATCATCAAGATGAACATTATCAAAAGCAAAAGTATCAACCTTAAGTATAAGTGCAAGACTATTACCTGATTTTTGCTACCCTGCCTTTTCAGATTTAGCTCATATGTCTAAAGTGATCTAATCAGCTTATCAAAATCCATAGAACCCATATCTCGACACTCTTCAATGGATGTCACCTTCAACAAAAACCACTAGGGTAGCGAGCACAAAACTTTCTTAACAAGTTCAACATTAGAATAAACCTTTTCCCAAGGCATAACACTCATTAGAAAAATCACAAATTATACCATGAAAATCAGTGGTGGTTTCATCATCATGATACTAATCTCCTAAGTCTTGTTTTCTTAACCACATCAGTTCCCTCATTTTTAACTTGAAGTTTGTCCCATGTATCTTTAGCCATCTCACAATTTGTAATAATTTCATCATATTAACACTCATTGCATTAAAGATGACATGTATAGCTTTAGAGTTAAAGTTTGCAAGCTCAATTTCATTTTGGGTCCACTCATCTAGGGGTTTAGGCTTAGACACATTATCCTTAATAACTACAAGGGCTTTCCAATCACGAACAATAGAGATCCAGACCCTTATCAATGGATTTCAAAAATGCATGCATTCTTGGTCCAATAAGGGTAGTTAGGACTTTCTAACATAGGTGGTCTGTTAATAGACCTTCATTTGCTAAAGAAATTCATCTTAAAATAGACCAAAAGCAAAAACAATCAAGGAGTAGAACAACAAAAAGAAAAACACAACCAAATGCAAGAGCAAGCAAAACAGAGCAGAACAAAACAAAGCTCAAACACAATCAAACAGACTAGATCTATTGAAATAACTCTTCAGAACACACTCTGATACCAATTGAAAATTTTGTTTAATCGAGTTCATTAAACAAAGCAAAATGGGTTTGATTACATTTGTTAAAACTTAGACAAGATGGGTTAGATTGTGTTTTTAACGCTTTGGAAGAATGAACAATCAACACCTAAGCAACATCAAGCATCTAAACAACATAATGTAAAACACAAAGAGGATTTTTACATGGTTTGGCTAAAAACTATCTAGCCTACATCCGTAGAAAAAACAATGTAAAGCATCGAACATTTGCTGCGCTAAAGAGTCAAGTATATCAATAGAAAAACATGAATGGTAATCACTAGGATACCTTATTGGTTCAAAGATATTGAATTGAATGACTTCTCTACTGAATTCCATTGTCAAGGTTCCATCATGAGTGTCTATCTTTGTACGGGCTGTTTTCAGAAAAGGTCTTCTCAAAAGCAATGGTGTGGACTTAACAGTAGATTCATCCTTCATATAAAGAACATACAAATTCATCGGAAGATAAGCTCATTTACCTACACCAAAACATCTTCCAAAACTCCCTTTGAATAGGCGTTCAAACGATTGGCGAGTTGAATAACTACATCAATCCCTTTAAGAGAGCCATAGTTTAAATCAACATAAATTGAATAAGGCATTGCATTTATTGAAGCACCTAAATCTAACATTGCCTTTTCAAATCTAGTGTTACCTATGATGCATGGTATAGTAAAACTACCCAAATCTTTGCACTTTGGTGGAAGTTTCCTTTGTAAGACCGCTGTCACATTTTCTCCTACACTCACCATCTCATTTCCTTTGAGCTTCCGCTTGTTGGTGCATAATTCCTTGAGGAATTTCACATAATGTGGTACTTGTTTGATTGCATCCCACAGTGTTATGTTGACTTGCACTTTCCGGAAGGTGTCCAAGATCTCTTGTTCATGCTCGTTCTTCTTTGACTTTGCAAACCTATGGGGGTAAAGGTAAAGGAGATTCATAAGTAGAAATTGGAACCTTAGATTGTACCTTAGGTGGCCATTTTGCTTTGGTAGAATCGGTTGGCATATTTTTTGTGTTTTTGGACAGCTTTGCTTTATCTTGAATTAACTCATCCTTAATCTCGTCGTCATTAATCAGTTTTTTTGTGAGCTTCTTGAAGTTGTCCTCCACTTCTCAATGTTTTACATACCCGTTTTGATAATGGGTAAATGTTAATTAAATTGTATTTTAGGAGTTTTCTTAGGAATTTATTTGTTAATTAAGATTGAGTTTATCTCAATAATTTAAATAAATTAGATTAGGATATAGATGAGTTTTATTTTAGTTGAATAAGTCAGCCACGTATTTAGGATTGGGTTTGAACGTGTATTTCGGTTTGTTTAATCTGTGAACGTGTTTTGCTATTTAGTAGGGAAGTATGGTTGTAAGCTCATATATATTTCTTAGATTTCTATTGGAATGGATATGATGATTATTTGCATAAAAGGTTTTACTTGAACTCCGGAGGTTTCTAGCTCCCTCAATTAAGCAAGAGTTGTTTTCTTCTCACCACGGATTAGGAAGGAAGTTTACCAGACTTGCGACTCTAGTTTTCTAGCAGTAGTAGCCAATTGACTAACTTGATTTTCAAAATATTTTATTGATGTCTTTGTATCTTATCGGAATTGGAGAGTGCTAGTAGCTTAGGAATTTACTAATTCCTCCAAAGACTTGCCTTGAGATTGGGGAGGATTTTGTGGCCTTTCTTGATATGGTTGTTGTGCTTTTGGATAAGGAAAATTGGGTAGGTTGGTATGGGTAGTAGCTTGTTGGTTTCTCAAATAGCTAAAGTTGGGTGATCTCTGCATCCCGAACTTTAGGTATTAGAAAATGGGTCATACCGTTACCTTTGTTGTCCTTGAAATCCTTCTATGGCAGTTGCTTGATCTAAATTAGGGTTTTGAAGAGTAGGGCACATGTCTGTATGATGCCCAACGGTAGAGAAAATTCCACATGGTTTAACTTGTCTAATTGTCATTTGTTGTACAAGTGTAGTCAACGTACTTAGTTGTTGCTCAATATTAGTGGAAATTCTCACTTCATTTACCTTCCTTAGTGGTGGATCGGATCAGGCACCAAATTGTTGAGAATTCACAACCATAGTTGCAATTAAATTTCTTGCATCCTCAGGAGTTTTATTAACCAAAACGCCTCCACTTGCTGTGTCAATCATGCTTCTTTCCATAGGCATTAATCCTTCATAAAAGTATTGGAGTAAAATTTGCTCACTTATTTGATGATGAGGGCAACTAGCACATAATTTCTTGAATCACTCCCAATACTCATATAAATTATCCTTATTGTACTGTCAAATACAACAAATTTCTTTCCTAATAAGAGTAGCCCTAAATGCTGGAAAAATATTTTTCCAGGAATAGTCTCTTCATTTCATTCCAACTATTAACGATCCTAGATGGTAGATAGTATAATAACTCATTAGCGCTATCGGCTAAAGAGAATGGGAATTCCCTAAGTTTAACTTGTTCCTTAGTAGTGCCACTTGGTTTCATGCTAAAACACACCACATGGAATTCTTTAAGATTCTTATTTGGATCCTCTCCCGCTAAACCTCGGAAAGTGGGTAATAGATGAATCATTCATAATTTTTAATTCAAAAGCTCCACCCATTTCATTGTACTGAATACACAAAGGTTGTTGATCTAAAGCTATTGCAGCCATCTCCTCAAGAGTACGATTAGCCATCTCCTCGTAATCGAAATATTCTGAAGAATCCAAAAAATCCGAAGAGTCACTTGTAGCTGGAAGATCAGTAGTAATCGCTTAACTAAGAATTGTTCTATTCAAAGGTCATCGCGAATGAGTAATAGGTGGAATTGGGTCAAAGTGTGGATTTGATCTCAAGTTGGAATGAGAGCTCATTCACCAAGACACCGAAAACCAAATAAAAGGACACAAACACTTAAGACTAAAAAGTAAAAACTAACAAAAAGTAAATAAAGAGTTAACCAAAGAAAAATCCCTGGTGAGACGGCACCAAAATTTTGATGCGTGCTAATTTAGCACCCTAATTTAACCTCATTTAAGATCTATGACAATGTCGCGTAGTAGTATAGAGCAAGTAAGGGTTAACTAACTAATTACTTACTAAATAGGCGGTTTTGATGATTAATGTAAAAAACTAAAAACAAATTAAATGTGAAGTTGAAAAAATATGAGATAAATTGGATTGAAGGATCATTCATCGCTACTAAACATGAATTGTAGATCAATAGAAACACTTCCTAACTTCCTACCCTCTTGACTATATTAGCTCAGAAGATATCACAAGCTCGATAAATTCGATCTCGCTTTGCTATATTGTTGGAATTAACAAGCTCTTAACCCAATTTCCTATCAATTAAACAACCTAGAGTAAGCTCTTTAGATTTAATCTAATAGAATCATTAAATAAAAAGAAACATACTGAATCAAGGCTAAACTCATAAGCTCAGTTTAGTTATCTTGAGTGTTTATTCCCATTGCATGCAAGCAAGCAACTTACTACTAGTTATTTAGATTAGTAAATCGATTACGTGCCAGACAATCCAAATTGTAACAATAGATCAACCTAACTTTTAATGGGCCACTTAAATGATTAAGGAAAATCTATTAAGGCATTCACCAAAGAGAATAAAACACTTAATCAAGAGGAATCCGAAAGAAAGAAAAGTGTAGCCGTTCTATTCATTATCACAAAACATGTCTAGGGTTTTGAAATCACCCACAATCACTAGAGAATTAATTATCTATGGAAAAGAATAAAACTATAATTGTATTCATGGTAACAAATAATAAAAGAGATAAGAAAAACTTAGGAAAACTTCGGTGATCACTAGAGTTGTTGCAGATCACCTCCAATTCCAAGCCTTACAATTTCTCTTTCTCTTTATATTATTGTGTACTTTTGTTTCTTTATTCTCTATATCCCTAAAAATAACTAAAGACATCTATCTATAGTTCTAGGGTTATGGGGGTGTAATTAGAATAATCCTATACAAATTAGAATAGAAAATTTTGGATAAGACTTGACAAAATCCAAGTAGAAATAGGATTATAGGACCTATGTCACGGCACCAAAAAATCCATGCTGTTATATGCCTTCCATCTATGGTGACTTGAGAGGGTCATGCTAGGGTGCCACTTTTCTTATGTCGCAATGAGCATGACTTACATCTTCAACCTTCCATAGCCAAGACTACACTGTCGTGGCCCCAAGTTCCTTAAGCCATGGTGCCAAGAGACATCCAATTTTGAGCATTATAACTTCTAAATCTAATGAAGTCATGAACATATGAATTGTATTCATTCAAATCAGCTTTCCAATGGTTCAAGAATTATCCAAATTCGAGGTCTACATCTCGAGTTATCATCAAAATATCAAAGCATGCTCCAGACTCAAGCGTATTCCACGATTTGCATTCCATACTAAATATGTCATAACTCCCTCATTTCAATGCCAATTCTTGAGCATTTATCTCCAGTCATCGCAAATTCTTTCGCCAACATCATTCTTCATCCAAATATCAGTTTTAACCATTTGTGACTTGAATTCACACCAAACATACCCATGATCCCCAAAAACACACTTATGTAACAATTAAGTCAATTTATGCATATTAAACCTAATTTCCCAAAAATGATACCGATAAATCACTAAGTATAAGTGCATTTTCAAGCACTTATCAGCTATCTTCTTCTCTACAAGAAATTGTCTCAACTCGTTTGGAAGGGGAAGTCTCAAGCCGTCCTTGAAAACATTAGGGTAAAAGGCTACAAACCCCATTGGTGAGCTTGATGAGACATAGCCCTCTATAGGGGCTGAAAAGGTAACATCATCTAGAATTTGATACTTAACCTTATATTATATAAGCCTAGTTTCACCAATTTAGGAGGGCTCAGCATCAGCGCCCTAATTTCCTACCCCTTGACGTGCCCTATGATTCTTTCTCCTAACATAGGTTTTTGCATTACTATTAATTTCTATGTAGTGGTCTCTAAACTAAAGAACTCATCACCACTCTTCTCATCACTAGACAGAGCTGACATCCTACTTTGAGAATCTTCTACTTCAGACATAATTTAAGCTAAGTTTTAGCATCACAAATCCACACCAAACAAGAGCAAGCAAATAGACACAATGAGTAAACAAGCAATGACTACTCCATGTTCAATCAGGATCAATCAATGAAAAGCTACAAATAAAATGGCAAAAAGTTGAAAACCCTAGAAACATGTAATCTACAGAGTTTATCTCTAAGGACAGAGCACAAAGCCATGGCGAAGTAAAAAAAAAAAAGCCTGAAAATGACGACGAATGAAGTAATTTGATAAAAAAGTGATATTCACCGGAGCCCATAATTGTCAAAGGTAAAAGTTAGAAGGCAAAAGAAATCAAAAGAAATCGTAAAATGGCAAGAAAGCAGCAAGGCAAACTTTATAAGGCAACGTCAACATCAAATCCCAACTGTCAAATAAATTAGATAGTTAGGGATTAAAAAGCGTGTCGTAGCTACCAGGTTTCGTGACTATGAGATCCACATGCCTAGTAGCAATTATGGAGTGACTCACATGCACTCCTATCAATTGCCTACTTGCCATAACGGTCGCTCACATGCGTAAAAGTCCAACCACCATAAAACAGTAATCTGAAAATTCAAAATTCAATTGCCCAAAGGATTGCGACGCAAAAGCCAAACCCTAGAGTTATAAAGCAACAACTCTATAGTACTTGGAACTAGGGGTGCTTAACGAGCTGAGCCACTCGCGAGCCGACTCGACTCAACTCGAGTCTGGCTTGTTAACGGCTCGACTCGTCAGATAACGAGCCAGCTCGGCTCGGTTCGTGAGACAGAACGAAGCTGAGTTCGAGCCGAGCCTGGCTCGAAAAAATGGGGGTTTTTTGGAGTTTTCTAAAGTACAGGGGATTAAAATGAAAATTTAACGACAAAAGTTTTAAAAAATGACAAAATCCCCCCCCCGATTTTTTAATCCCTAAAACCACGACACTTTCTCATTTGCCATAACTCTTTGCTGTAATCCCTAAATTTCATTGATCCCCAGCACGGTTTGTCGCAGCACCAGCACACCTCCTAGTCGCTGTCAACTCTTCGCCATGAACCACATCTTCTTCATCAGATTTGCATCCAAGAGTTGTCATCAGATTTGCATCCAAGAGCTGTCATCATTTATTTGGCACACAATGGAAATCCAAACACCAACTGGCTAGTTATTTGTCAGCAAGTTCGTGATTTCTGCCAGAAAGTCAGTGGGGCTGTGGTGGCATCTTTCATTACTGTTGTGCTCTTTGTGGTAATGGTGGTGCTGTCAGCTTTGGCTCTCCGAAGGCATTAAGAAATCGAAACCAGTGCAAATGATTTTCATGTTTCTATGATTCCTTTGTTGTGTCCAGAAACTTGAGTTTCATTTTATAAGGGTATTGGTAATAGTGATATCTATTATATTGTACTGGAAGAATTGGTATTGAATCTAATGTGCTTGTGTTGAATCAGTCCATTCAATACTGCTTTTGAGCATCTACATTTTAATGTATTCTGATTGAAATTAAAGAATCCTTCAAAATGTTTCATTCTCTGCCCAAAATTCCACGCATGAAAACAAATTCATATAAGGAATGCTGCCATTCTGCAGTCAGACCCATTTAAGTCTACCGATGCTTGGCCACAACTCCTGGTTTATTTTTTGTGGTCCATCTCCCTGATGATCATCTTGGCTTGAAACTTCTATTCTGGGATAATCACCTTACAGTCTTGTTGTATTGCAATTGCGAAAGAGCATTGTTTTACAACAGAAGGAAACAGACATTAAAAATAATTGCTTGGCATTTCCAATTAGATTCACAAGGGGTTTTGGGCTAAAAAGAAAGTGCATGAAGTGGCTAGAAAAGTAGCAGTGGCTAGAATTTTTTATTTTTTTTTTTTTGGCTTAAAACTTGAATTTTTGAGAGTTGGCTAGCGAACCGGCTCGAAATATTCCCAACTCTTTCCCGAGCCAAGTCGAGCCATAAAATCTGAGACTCGGCTCGACTCGAGCTCAGCTCGATTAATAATCCTCTCTCATGAGCCGAGCTCGTTAAGCCCAAAACTTGACTGGGCTCAACTCGTTAAAACCCCTACTTGGAACCCTACAAAACTCTAAAAGAGTGAGTAGCAAAATTGGTTTACAAAGACAACATTGTGACTCTACAAACTAGTGGGCCTCTATAGTATCCAAATTTCCCTAAGGGAAAAATAATAAAATCCTAAATTGATATGCTTGCCCATTAAGTAAGCTATCTAGAGAATGTCCCTCCAAAATAGGGAATATAATTCTAATTAAATA